CCCTTCCCCCCCCCCCCCTCCCCCCCCCATGCTTCTCTTTCAAACACCCCTTTGCCTCTTCTGCTTCCTCGGGACCCCCCCCCCAAAAAAAAAAGCCAAAACCAAACCAAACCACCACAACACCCCATCCTCCTGTCATCCCAAACCTCCTAACCCCCCCCCTTGCTCCTGTTCCCAGGAAGCTGGGAAAGGGGAAGAGCATCGCTCCTCGATCCCAGAGCGCCCCTGGTACCCCAGGGGGGGAGGTTTTGGGGGGACCTGCTGGCATCCAGCAGAGGACGAGGTTGGGCAGCCCCTTCCCTTGGGTGCTCCGGGTGCCCACCTCTCTCTCCTACCTGGATTTCTTCGGGATCAGGGGCTGTGTCCTCAAGGACTCAGGGTGATGTTGCCACGTGTCCCGGGAACCGACCAACCAGCCTCGGATTTCACTTCAGCTCCGGGTGCTACAACCTTGCTTCTTTCCTTTGTTTTTGTTGTTGTTGTTTTTAAATCCTCCTCTTCCCCCCTCCCCCCCCCTTGATAAAGTAATGTGAATCCTACAGGAGCAAAAATCCCTGGGGGCCCTTGGATATCTCAGGAATTCCCAGGATCCCAGGGAGGGCAGCAGGGCTGGGGTTCCCCTGCTTACCCAGGCAGGAACCAGCCATCCTGAAACCCCCTGGAGATGGGATTTTTTTTACCCTCCTCTCTCAGTGTGATGTGAGGGGGACACACACACAACGTGCCCGGGGAAGGGGGACACTGTGGCAGGGTCCTGTCCCCCCTAAGCCCCCTCTTATTACCTCCTCCTGCCTGTTGGGAGGTGTCAGCAGCTTCGCAACCTTCTCAAGTGCCATTTTCTCAGCACCTCCCACCTGAGTGCCTGCCCCATCCATCCATCCATCCATCCATCCATCCATCCATCCATCCATCCATCCATCCTTCCCTCACCCCAGGGAACCTGCTGGGATGGTGGCCCTGCATCCCAGGGGAGGCTCCAATCCCTACTGCAGGCTTTGGTGCACTTTCCATCCCATAACTTATTTTACTCCAGGTGTGTTTGGTGTGGTGGCTGCTTGGGGAGCTCCTCTTCTTCCACCTACCCCTCCCCCCCC